CAGACTTTCTGAAATTTCTCCCACAGAGGAGAGGGAGGAAGTAAAAAATTAACCTGAATTCAGATTTTACTGTACTCTTTTAAATGCAGTTTTTTGCAAGATATCAAACATGTTTTCAGACCCATCTAAAAATTCTCTAATTAGTATCGGAAGAAGGTGAACCTAATTCTTGCACCCTGTAAAAATGGATAAGATCAGCTATATTCTAATAATCTAATTTTTGCTATTGTTACTTTTTGCCTGAGCAATGCCAGCTCATCTGCTAGTATTAAAATAATTTCATAGAAATGTTTCACATAAATAAATATTTAAATTTAAAAGAATTTTTGAAAATATACAAAATTAGTTTTCAAATTAAAAGACATTTACAGATTCCAATTTTCAAGGTTTAAAAAATAAAAAATCTTTTTTTATAAAAGTATGCCTTCTGTTTCTCTATACAAAAATATTTTTGTTTTACAATATATAAATGATAAATAATATTAGATCACATCATTATACTGACATTACAAGTAAGTATTGATAAATACTGTATTTACTCACATATAAGACAAGGTTTTCATTCATTTTTCACTGTGTCAAAAACTTAGATCGTCCTATAGTGAAGGATTTTTTGCATTTTTGCAATAATTTTTGTGAACCATGTATAGTTCATGCTGCCATTATAGGTCTACAGTCTATTTATCATAAGTTGGCACCTACTGTAAACAAACTAAGATACACCCACGTTTGTTTATTGGTTGGAACCTACATCCATCAATTGAAAACCACATTGCATCTCATTTGTCCACAGAAAATAGTTTCTCATTACTTATAAAATCATTAATGAAATACTAGTCACTTAGCAATGATTATAAATTAGTCATGTCATATTTGTTAAGTTGTTATTTTTTAATGAATATTAGCACATTCTAAATCATTAAAAATAAACTTTTTTCAGTCATGCACATTATAGTGTTTTGGTTTTGTTTTCCATTCATCACATATTAAGACAAACAACCATGTCTGCCTTAATATATGCATTTAATAATATTTTATTTGTCATTAAATGAAATATGATTAGAATTGTATTAATAAATCTAATTTTCTTCATTTTGATCTTTAAAGTCACACCTTGTCCTATATGCAAGTAAATACAGTATTAATATTTATCAACATTTATAACAACATATAAATGTTGATATATATACCACAGGTTAATAATTAAATTATTTCTATTCAGTGCTGTCTACAGATTAGCAGTCCAAATGCAATCAAATTTGGTATGGTGGCATTTCAGAGCATGCAAAATGCACTTCTCTAAGAAAAAACATTATCACCAAAACACAACTATGGCACGTTTATCACCGCAAGCAACAAACATTTTATTTGTATAAATACAAAACACTCATGTTACATAGAGAACTTAGCAATGCATGAAATACTGCTTAATGTGGTCCATATTCTGAAAGTGTAAAACCTGATGATGATAAACAGTGTGTTCAACAGATAACTATAACTGATCCTCTGTGATGTTTCTCACATAGATTATGGTATTTTCTCTCAACGCTGCCAAATATGCAACGAGTCCTCAATTAACCACACTTTTTAAGTACCTCTAAATCAAAAATCATACAGATTAATATCCAAAATGCCAAAAGTAACATAGTGGCGAGATTTGATGACATTTCTATAAAAACAATTACCATCAAATACCAGATTTGGTTTCACTGGAATGCGAAATATCTTTCTAGACAGCATTGAATAAGGGTAATTTAATTATGATTACCTGGAATATATGTAAACACAGAATAACCCAGATCACATCCATACACATTTTTAAAATAAAGGAAAGTGTTTCATCAAAAATTCAAAAAATTTTGGTAAGTAAATCAGGCACTGTACACTCTATCATATGGTGATATTTTCAACTTCTAGTAATAGCTGGAAATGTGCTATCAAACTGAAAGTTGAATTTTTTAAATGGAACATGGTATTTTTTAATGTAGATTTTGATTAAATGCAAAAATTAAAAATAGTAATAATAATAATATTTATATCGCAAACATTTCTGAAAATATTTCCATTAATCATAAATGATCTTGAAAGTGTAATGAACTTTTCCTGGCAAAGACTTATTACAAACCATTTCATCCAGATATTTTTCTGCTGACTGAATATTTATTGTCAATAAATGTAAACATTATGCTTGTGATTGCATTTTCATTTCAAATAAGTTTTCATTTTCAGTTACACACTTATCAAAAGATATCTTTGTAATATATGTAGCCATATATAGCCATATATCCCATGAAATTTTTTGGATTTCAAGCAGAATAAATGCTTGCATTGCTGAGAACAGTGCTCAGTTTGAACATTTTGATGGAACAACAATTAAAATCTGTTATGATACGTGATTAAAAATCTTTTTATATAATTATTATAAAATGGCAAAAAGCTTAATTTTCATGGTAGAGATGTATTGTAAATGATAATAATAGGTAAAATCTTCATTAAGTCTGACTCTATTCAAGATATGACATATGATCCCTGTCTATCACACAAAAAACTAAATTCCTTGTCTCGAAAGCCCATTTCCATAAGTCCAAAATATCACCATTTTCTGATTTAGGATTCAAAATCTGTATCAAAATTTTTAAGATTTTTTAAATACAGGATGAGTCAAAAGTACTGAAGATATATTAATTTTATTAATTTTCCTAAATGATTTAATACAGATTCTGCATAAAGCATAAAAATTTATTTTAAATTTAAGACTTCATTCATTCATTTTTTTCCAAATTTTCTCAAAAATTTTTGATAATATTTAAGAGTTAATCAAATTCATTTTATGAAATTTAACGTTCATTTATTTTAAATCTAACAATGAAATAATTAGTATTATTATATTTAAATTTATTTTCATTATATTTCATAACAAAAATTATTTCCTTACTATATTTTCTGGTTCTGGAATTATCACTCCAATAAAATAATCATTTGCTTTAAAAATCTGCATATGTCTTGGCATCAAATCACCTTAAAAATATATAATCTATAATCAATTTTAACTATAATAATTTTATGAATTATAATTAAATAATCAAACAAAACAAAATTGGTGTGTAAAATTACCCAAAGTTTTACGAATCAGATATAATTGATCAACATCAGATTTTCCAGGCCATAATGCTTCTCCTCTCATTAATTCTGCTGTCACACAACCAATAGCCCAAATATCAACAGAAGGACCATACTGAGTATCACCAACCAATAATTCAGGTGCTCGATACCATCTAGTAGCAACATAATCTGTATAATTTTCTGCTGGACCTGAAAGATAAAGAAAACCTTGAAACTTTTTATCATCATATAATATAGTGGTACTTCATAGTTCAAACAGCTAACTTTAAAAACATATCAGAGTTTGAATGCTAAATTCAAGAAAAATTCAATCTGGAGTTCAAATGATGATTCTAAATTTGAACTATATGTTAGACTAGTTGTTGCTTGTTGGAGAGATTAGTAAAACAGCAGTTGGATTAATGTAACCAGTTGTGTAATAAAAAAACAAAGAGTGCACAAAGATTACACACAGTCTTTACTCATGGAAGGTCAGCGCTAGAAAGGGAGAGTGAAATGAGGTCACCTTCCCCGAGGGGTCAAGAGCACCACCAACCTTTTATTATGTCAGAAGAACATTACAAAACATTGCGATCGCTGATTCCAACACTATACTCGTGCTGAAAAAATGCACTTTCTGCATAAATGCAATCTGTTGTGTGCCCAAGTCATCTCTTACTCTTCTCACTGTGAAAGCATCTCTTGCATTACATTCATGTGTTTTTGGTGGTTTTATTGCTTAAACATTAGTGTGTTTGTTATATAATTATCCCCTACTATTAACCATGGTATCCAAGAAGAGTGTGGAAGCAATAAAGCCTAAGAGGAAGGTTGTAGTATTGCCAATGAGGTAAAAAAGGAACTTGTCATGAAGCTTGAAAAAAGTATGTGTGGTGGATCTAGCAGACATGTTTAAGATGCTGAAGTCAACAGCGAGCACCATTTTTAAGAACAAGAAAGCAATAAAAGCAGTAATGTGGCTAAAGGTGTAGCAATATTGACCTCCAGAAGAATATGTATTTGGAGATCAGATTTATCTGTCCATTTATTTACACTAACAGAAGATGGAAAAAACTCCTCCTAGTGTAGATAAATGAAAACAACTAGCTGGTGGTGATACCATCTCTGAGATGATTATTTGTGGAAAACTAAGCAGCTGCATAATGATCTTAAGAAACCAGCCACATGGATCACCACCACTCCTCACTAAGGTACATAAAATATGTAAATACAGTAAAATAAAATGAAAATTACATTTACTTATTGTTTTTATGCTTTAATTCACTAGTTAGGTCATTTAATTGTGTTATTTTTATCCTAAATTATGTATATTTGTTATCTTGTTTGTTATCTAAATTATGTTTTGAAATCTTGGATTCGAACATGATGATGACCGTTGAAGATGGTAGAAAATGTTCGTTTTTGAAATGAATTTATGCTGGTATGTTGGTAATTTCGTAGTTATGTTTGTATATTTGTTATTTAAGTTTATCAAAATGGATAGTGTCTATGGTCTGGGAATGGATTAATTCACTTTCCATTATTTCTTATGAGAAAAACTGATTCAGACTTCAAACAATTAAGAGTTCAAATGGTCTCTGTGTTGGAATCAATGATCGAAATTACTGTCTAATGTTATACAACATCATTACATTTAATGCATTGTGTTGCAAAGTTTTTTAAATGTTCTTCCGTTACGTAATAAAAGGTCGGTAGCACTGTTGACCCCTTGGGATGCCATTAGAGATGGTGACCTCATTTCACTCTCCCCTTTTCAGTGCTGACCTTCCATGAGTCAAGACAGTGTAATCTTTGTGTATTCTTTGTTTCTTTGTTATATAACCAGTTATGTGAGTCTAACTTGATTTTACTAATCTCTCTGACAAGCAACATCTAGTCTAACAACCTGAACAAATTAAATTTGAAGTATGATGCACTATTGTATTTGAAAAAATTATCATTAGAATAAAGGATTTTGAAAGTATTTATTTAATGACAACAATAACAACAACCATCCTATTATCAATAAATACAGTGGAGCATCAATTTTCTGAATGTTGATCAACCGAAATGTCAATAAACCGAAAGCTTTCCAGTTGGAAAATTTAAATTTCCGCTAGTGCTGTGGCACTGCAATCTTTGGCTATGTCTTGGGCTACTCCATTATTATTTTTGTTGGTGTGCAAGTTTTATCTGGCAGCACTGGTGTGACCATGAGAGAGTACTTAAGGACATGCCAGGATTTGAACGAATTTCAACATGGGATAGGTTAATATATTTTTTCATACATAATCGGTTATCTGAAAAATCGATTTTCTGAACAACCCCAATTCCCAATTGATTTGGATAATCGATACTCTACTGTACTTTCAAAATTATCACTTCTAATTACAAATTTTGTCTTTATTGTATAACATTCAGTATTCTTGATCTTATTTAATTATAAATCTTAATATAGAGAATTATCTAGAGCCTTACCACTAACAGCTGCTCATCTCACAATATATCTGTTTTCATTTTATAGTGTAGTGCTTCATGACTATGTATTTTTGTGTTTCAGTTTTTCTCTTAAGGATCAAGAAAAGGGCTGATAAGACAGCAATCCATTTCCATCCAAATAAGGACACTTTAACATCGAGATACAACACTCTCAAGGAAAAAATCAGTGAGAGATGTGAGAGCAGCGAGCAAGATAAAAACGCACAATCCAGATTAGATGAATGAAACACAATAAATTTTTATTTACTTGCTTTTTAGGATACAGGTTCTCAGGATACCACTATGCTAACCCCATGGATACTCCACATAATTTATTAACCCGACAAAGATTGCACGCACGTCGTTCCTTATCTGCTCACTTAAAACTATCTTAATTAATACTATAATTCTATTACTACTTAAACTTAATTTATATATATAGCCGGCTTACTCAAAGGTTTAGAAGATGAAAGTAAAGAATAAGGAAAGAGGGTACCCAAAACTTGATGGATGCGGTTTCTCATTGATCGGGGGACTGGTAAGCTCCGTTTCTTGTTTCACATAGAGATGTTAATCCAAAGGGATGATCCTTCCCACTCCCTTCGGTTGGGTTCCTTTTTATTATACGTTCCACAGGTTTCCTTTTCACAATACGATGCAAAACCTTCTGGGGAGACGTCTTGTCGCTCTCCACGTTCCAAAGTTCTCTCTTTTTCACCCTCATACGCTAAACTTGCCGGGGAGACTCCTCTTTTTAGCTCTTCCCTCCCGTTCCTTCCTACCCGTCCTACTTCCTTTTCTCCGTCTCCAGTTCTCCCCTCCGAGTCTCCCGATTGCTCCCTTCCCTCCGAGCTACATTCCTTTCGTTGCTTCTCGGGTTAGCCCAACCGCATACCCAAGTCAAGGAAAAGAAAAACGAGAACATTCCAGGAAGGGTAAACAAACAGGACAGACAGAGGTGAAGCGGGAAATATACAAGATAGAATAACACAATTATATACGAAATATATGATTACATATGGCGTGTAGCCACAGAGATTCATCCGAATGTATTAGTTTTCTTTTTCACTGTTTATACATGGTAGAAAAAGTGTTGTGAGTAGGTTCATTTTTATTTTGTGTTAAGCCTTTCAATTTTTGTCACATGACATGAGTCCCCTGAAAGGAGAGGAGGAAAGAGAGGGGAATGTGNTGAGAGATTCATCCGAATGTATTAGTTTTCTTTTTCACTGTTTATACATGGTAGAAAAAGTGTTGTGAGTAGGTTCATTTTTATTTTGTGTTAAGCCTTTCAATTTTTGTCACATGACATGAGTCCCCTGAAAGGAGAGGAGGAAAGAGAGGGGAATGTGAAAATGTGTGAAACATTATATTGTTATTATTTGTGCATTGAAAATTGTCAATCATGTGATAGTTTCTGTTCTATGTATATATTGTGTTTTGTCAATGGGAAAGAATTAAATACCCAGTATATCTGTCAAACCGACTTGTCCGTCTTTTTGTCTAGTCCCACAAATCTCATTCTACAGGGCATTCTACAATAGTCTTCTCCTATCAGTTACATCATCACCATTAGACATCACTATATCATTGATTCCAGATAATGAAACTTCATTTTTATACTGATTTTTAATTAAATTTCTCCTTACTCTAAAAGTGATTAAAATCAATTACAGTCAACTTTCTGTATCTGCAGGTTTTGTATCTGCAGATTCAATAAACTGTGAATTGAAAATTTATTGAATCTGCAGATACAAAACCTGTGAATTGAAAATATTAGCAAAAAAATTCTAAAAAGATTCAAGAAGAAAAACTTGTATTTGTTTGTATTTGAAATATTCTATGTTTTATTTCTTTTTCAGGTCATTAAAGAAAAGCAATCTGTAAGTGTTGAAAAAAAGAAAATGTTACATTGTTACTGTATTGAAAATATTTCCAAATAAATTGTTGCCTCATCATAAAGATTTCTTACACTTGTCATGGTATAATATTCCTGTCTTAGATTATTTTAATTTTTACAAAAAAGATATTTGCAACAAATTTCTTATTACTTATGTGCATAAGCAATAAGAAATAATTTATTGTAATATTCAGTTAATAAAACCAATTACCTTAAATACCTAAAATATCTTTTTCAAAAATTTAGATGATAATGAAAAATATGTTTTTTTGTTGATTAATGAAATTTATCTAAAAATACAATAATTCACTTTCAGTAAATCAGTTGTGTGCTAATTTATAACTGTCAAAAATTAAAATCAAGCAAATGTACAAGCATACATGTGTATTCTTACTTATTGATGTCATTAAATACAATAAAAGACAAAATGACTTCCAACAACTTAACACTGTTGAGTAATAATAATCCACGAAAACCTTTCTGTACAAGTCCGACAGTCCCTGTTTGAATTCCTCGAACAAGGGACGACAGGTTCAACAAGGACTTGATTTACATTGGCTCCACCATCCACTCAACTCAAAAACGAATACAAGAACATCAAGCTGATATTAAAAATAACAGGCACCCACCACCTTATTGACCTACGTCACAGACCCTGAAATACAAGCGGACTTCCGGAATACCAGACTAATTAGACCAGCATTCCGAACCGATCACATCTGACACCTGGAGGCCTGGGAGATTCATAAAGCTAACTGTCGGGGCACCTGCATCAACAACAAAGATGGTGAAACGATCACACAGGTGTGGAGGTATTTGTTCGAGGAATTTGAACAGGGACTGTCGGAGGGGTGAAACCCGATGCGCATGATCATTTACGTCTCTGGCAACATCGTTACGACGGTCAGGAAGAAACACGGTCAGTCATCACCTGAAGCAGATCTTGGTGGAGGTCGAAAGCGTTTGTGGAGTAGTTAAGAACATAACACTTGTACAGAAAGGTTTTCATGGATTATTATTACAATAAAAGATACTAACATTAAAAAGATACCAAACTAAATTTTCTTAAATTTGTAATTTTATTTCTGATTTACATACATACTAGTGATAGAAATAATAAATAAGTTTTATATTCACTTCGAAACATACTTTTGTAGCTGAGAGCAAATAACTGAGTCCAAAGAATCGCTCGGTGTTGATAAATTAAAAGTTTAATATTTACAATTAATAATGATAGTTTCCAAAGAAACAATTGTACACAACTTACAAACTAGGAAAATACAAAAAATAGTTGGGATCAACCATGACAATATGACCGATTGAATCCCACATGCCAATAAACAAAGGACTTGAAATATAGTTAAGCTAAACATAAATTAGATTAACTAATTTTACAAAAGAAAGGACCCTGGATCAAGATGGGGTTGAGATAAGAATTAGAAGATTTTGATTTAGACAGAAAAAGAAATGGGTCAAAAGGGGATGACTGGCAAAAATAAACCTCAAGTCCATTATTCCAGAGGGTCTTCTTTTCATTACTCGCTGACATATAGGTCCTCTTCTTCCCAGCTCCTCTCTCCAAAAAGTGATGATTTTCTCCACTTTCCTCTCTATCCTCTCGTGCCAGTCCCCTTTGACCAATCCGGTGTCACCCCCTTTCACTAGAGACCCATCGGACCATTGGGGCAATCAATCACGATGAGATCAAGAGAACAAAAGCCAGAAGGGAAGTTTATGAAAGAAAAATGGTGGAAGAAAGTGAAACAAAAAGAAAAACAAGGCTCAACCAAGCAACACTTATCTTAATATTTTGGTGATGATTAAGTACTTTGTATTCAATAACAAATTGACAAAATTTGGAATAGTTTTTTTTTATTCAATTAATTAATATAAATGACATTTTATTAAAAGTAATTATTAATAATAATAAAAGTAAAACTTGATAGATGATGATAATTTCACTTATTACTATTATTAACTTTTAAACAACAAAAATTATTTTTCATAAAATTTAATTACCATAATACTTACTTAAAGTTCTTGCAAATCCAAAATCACACAGTTTCACAATGCCTTCTTTAGTAAGCAGAATGTTCTCTGGTTTAACATCTCGATGTATACACTAAAATATAATTTTATCATCTTTAATATTTCATATTTAATTATTTTATAAATTTTACATTACATTAAAAAAATAAGTATAATTTAATAAAATAAAATTTATCTAAATTTCTTTTCACTGTAAACTTTCAGGTAAGTTTGAGTATTTCAAAACTACACTTCTAACATTCAAAGGTTTCACTTGACAATGACTATTTGCTTAATTTACTGTTACATATGCATTTCGGAATATGTATACTTTCATTCCTTCTCAGTACTGTTTAGATTAAAAAATAATAGCTAAAAACAATTTTTTAAAAATTTATATACTTTCAGATGGTGTACTTTAAAAAACTTGTTAAAAACAACTCCTTTATCTGTAATATTAAATAAAATTTAACATTTACTATTTCATACTATAAATTGTTTTACAGATATTTCCCATACTTAAAACCATTCTTTACTATCTTATTACAATGATGCTTCTTTACAANACAACTCCTTTATCTGTAATATTAAATAAAATTTAACATTTACTATTTCATACTATAAATTGTTTTACAGATATTTCCCATACTTAAAACCATTCTTTACTATCTTATTACAATGATGCTTCTTTTAAAGTATACCATTCGGAAGTATATAAATTTTTGAAAATTGTTCGGAACTATTATTTTTTAATCTAAACAGTACTGAAGAGGGAATGAAAGAATACATTATTTCAAAATGAATATGTAACAGTAAATTAAGCAAATAAAGTCATTGTCAAGTGAAACCTTTGGATGTTAGAAGAACTGTTTGAAATTCTCAAACTAACCTGAAAGTTTACAGAGAAAAAAATAGAATTTCAGCACCTCTTCTCCACATTGTAGTGTAAAATTTATTTAAATTAATAAAAAAATTTAGCATTCAAACTCTGAAGTGTTTGAATTTACAGTCGTTCAAAGTATGAGGTACCACTGTATTTATATATACAAAATTATTGCTAGTGAAATTGTTACTAGCATGTACAGTACACATACAGTAGAACCTCGATTATCCGGACTAATTGGGGATGAAGGTAGTCCGGATAAGGAAAAATCCGGATAATCGAAAATCCGGATAATGGAAGAATACCTAAAATATCTTTTTCAAAAATTTAGATGATAATGAAAAATATGTTTTTTTGTTGATTAATGAAATTTATCTAAAAATACAATAATTCACTTTCAGTAAATCAGTTGTGTGCTAATTTATAACTGTCAAAAATTAAAATCAAGCAAATGTACAAGCATACACTTGTATTCTTACTTATTGATGTCATTAAATACAATAAAAGACAAAATGACTTCCAACAACTTAACACTGTTGAGTAATAATAATCCACGAAAACCTTTCTGTACAAGTCCGACAGTCCCTGTTTGAATTCCTCGAACAAGGGACGACAGGTTCAACAAGGACTTGATTTACATTGGCTCCACCATCCACTCAACTCAAAAACGAATACAAGAACATCAAGCTGATATTAAAAATAACAGGCACCCACCACCTTATTGACCTACGNACGCCGCCCTTGGTCATAGAAATGATGTAATTTGAATATAAATTATTTATAAATACGTATGTCAAGTTATATTTTTATTACTACGTAAAATATATTTAAGAGTTTACGACCGCTGTGCTGGGTGAGACGTTGTTTAAACAAAAAAATTTATACATTCCATAACGCACATAAACAGTGTCGTAATTCGCCATGTGCAAATCAGCAAATTCGTAAAATTTTTGTTTATTTTGAACAATCCGGATAATCGAAAATCCGGATAATGGAAGTCCGGATAATGGAGGTTCTACTGTATATTGTTATGATCTTGTGTGATATATTTTGAATGTTTGCAAATAATCTCTATTTCTATGGTGATCAGGTAATCAGAGGAGGGCACTTCTGGTTCTGGTATGGCCATATAAGACAACCTCCACCAGTGTTCTTCAGGTGCTCGCTGGGAAACAACCAATTACCCTTAGCATTAAATGGCTTGCCTGGGTGCACCTCCTAGCCCAGGGTAAGTGCATCACTGAGTTATCCCCATTGTTGACCATCTCACAATTTGGAAGAAAGTTGCACCACCAGGGTGGCCACCCCCTTATCGTTGGCCTGCCTTTGCAAACCAACCTTTTGAGATGCCTGACTTGTGCATTTACATAGACAGCTCAAAGGTTGATGGCAGGTTGGATGTTCATTTGTTGCATATGCCAACCAGTCAGAGATCAAGCTTGAGCAACATCACCAGTGTACAGACTGGTCTGTTCTTCAGGCTGAGCTGTGTGCTATTTCCACTGCAGTTGAGTGGTGCAGCAAGAACTATCGTAACTGTATCATCATCTTTACTGACTCCATGACCTGCATCCATATACTACAGAATGACAAGTCCTTCATCCCCTTGCTAGAAAAGTGAATTGGTGCATGCTTAACACCACCAACAAGTATGCTCTTCTTTGGATAAGGGGACATCTTGGTATACAGGGCAATGAGAGGGTCAACAAATGCTGGCTAAGGAGGCAACCAGCAACTCTGAGCATTGGTATTTACTTTGCTGTTCCTTTAAAGTTCCATCAAGAGTCATAACCACCAGGAGTGGCAGTATCATTGGGAAATGGGCAGTACTGGAGCCATCACTCAGCTCTTCTTTCCCAATCTGGGGAGACTGAAACACCTCTCCTTACATACCTCTCCCATCAAGAAATCCAATTTATTACTGGCCATGGCTGCTTTGCCAGTTACCTGGCCCATTTTAACATTAGGGACAATGGTTCTTGATGCCTATTTGAGGAAGATGGCCCACTACGCTACCTCTACAGGTGCCCAATTATGAACAAACATCGGACAGATATTAAACTATTAGCAGACTCACTTGGAACCAACTGGCTGTGTGATCCATACACCCTTATCAATAACGAGGCACTCTTTAAGAGCTTCAGGAACTTCATCAGAGCCTACTTTCACATCATCAGCAACACTCTGAGGACCATATGAGGAACATCTGCATAGTTTCCTGTATATACACATCTGAAGAACCATTTTATATACATACATATATATATATTAGTTGGGATCAACCATGACAATATGACCGATTGAATCCCACATGCCAATAAACAAAGGACTTGAAATATAGTTAAGCTAAACATAAATTAGATTAACTAATTTTACAAAATAAAGGACCCTGGATCAAGATGGNTCTGAGGACCATATGAGGAACATCTGCATAGTTTCCTGTATATACACATCTGAAGAACCATTTTATATACATACATATATATATATATATATATATATTGTAGTGTTTAGCATGATGAGAATAAGAAACAGGTATAGCATAAAGAACAAAACTTTATTTTATACAGTATGAACACAAAACAAAAAAGGACAGGTCCCAACTCTGGTGTGTTGTTAGTGAATACTTTTATACAACAGTATAGTACAATCAAGATTGTTACACAAAAGAATCTTCTCAACCACTTTTTGGGATTCACACACATGGAGTTCAAATCACAAAAGTATACACAAAGATCACCCGTGCTTAAAACTATCTTACAACATATGCTTTTACTCTAATTAATGCTAAAAGAGGGAAGAGATGTTAGATAGGGAAAGATAGATTTTCAAAGAAAGAAGTCTTAGAAAAGGGGTACCTGTAGCTTCACATATCACAATTAAACCATCCAAATATACCTTTGCAGTTCTTCTGGATTTCACTGGTATATGTATTTTCTTTCTTAGTTGTCACTAGTGCTCTTTTCTTTTGTTCTTCCAAAAGAGATTTCCCATTTTGACTCTCAGGACTTACTGGCACTTTCTGTATCTTATTGGTCATACCTTGTCGCTTCTCATGCTACTCAAAGCCCGGAGCTCGTCTTCTGCATGTCTGTCTTCTTTGGAAACTTGACCAAAAAAAGTGCTGACTACATTCATGTTTGCCCTCAGGGCCTTCTCCGCTCTATTGTCTAACACTCACACTAGGGTTTCTCAAATGGGATCCCAGTTGTTTTTTTAACCTGGGAAATTCTTCTCATCACAGGAAATCCTGCAAATTTCTTAAACATCCACTTTTTTCTTATTTTGTGTTAAGGTTGAGGAAATTTTGCAAATAGAAAGTATAATTAACTCATAAACTTCAGAATACATTTTATTAATTTTAAACCTATTTATTAGTTTTTTTAATTTTTCCTAATTACGGCATGTCATAGATTGTCAATAATCAATATGTAGCCTATTTGTGAGAGAACTCTGAAAATTCTTTACTTGTCAAAACCTGTAATATGTAGAATAATTGTGCTTATGCTGTCCTAATTTTTAACCCATGCCCAGTAGCTTCAATAACTGCATAACACCAGGTTGAGCAAATTGGGCAACAATACAAACGAATATGAAGTTTTTCTTCATAAACCTGATTATTAAAACTGCCAAATTATTGGGCAATAAGCTTGATGTTTCTATTAAAGTAGCCAAAATAGACAAATCAAGAATACTAAAGAGAGAAAGAAAACAAACTAAAAAATCTTCCAGGTTACGGGTGAAAAAACACATAACATTTGTTTTCTCTTAAATGCATTAAACATGATTCCACTCACATCTATTGATCAGGAAAGGGCATTCTCAGAAGCAGGACTTTTCATTACTAAAATAAGAATCAGATTGAGTGATCGGAGTATTGACCATCTTTGCTTTTTATAATCTTATTATAAAAATTTACAATAATATTTTGTATTATGTTTTATTTAAATAACGAAAACAAAAATTACCTTTTAAGTTAGAAGTTTGATTTAAGTTCAATTTTTTTAAATTTTCAACTTAATTCAAAGCATTTAGTTTTTTTGTTGCTGTTGTTGTTGTTGTATACAGTTTCCAGCAAACTTTAATAAATTTTTCTATTTGTGAAAATTTCTACATAATTCAAAGGTAATTTTTAATATATATCTTACACAGCATTATTAATATGATTTTTGAGATTGCAGAACGTATTAAATTACTTTAAAAAATGAAAAATAATTATATTATTTGATTTCATGATATTTTGTATATCTTAAAAATAATTAATTCTATCCCGGAAAACAGTTCACTTTTATCCCGGAATCCTGGGACAAGATAAAGACCAGGAAATGAGAAACCCTAGCTCACATCCATGGAAGTAGGGCAAGGGTGGAAAGTTCTCAAATTCAGGAAACAAAGGAAAATCAAGAACAAAAGGAAAATTGATAGGCTAGGAAAGGGAAGTGATAGAAAGTGAAAATAATTTAACTTAAAAACTATACACGAATAAATGGCGTCACGCCACAATATCCTCTTGTTATTTTCATTCTGTATTTTGTAAAGTATTTATATAGTCATATAATTGTACTAATAGTTTCTAGTTGTAATTGTAATAACACTATATTATACTGCTTTGTGCTATCCGTAAGACATTATTTTGTAACTTTGTATTGTTCTATATTGATTGGATTCGTGCATTGATTGGATTTGTGTGTTCTCTATTGATTCGTGTATCATACAATATTGTACAGTAAGGTATCATATTGTGTAACCTGGATTAATTTGTACTACATAGAAACTTATTGTACTTTAATAACTAACTTCGGTGTATGTTTCTCCTTTTTAAATATACATATTATGTAATCATCATGTAATGTAACCTCTGTGGTGGTCTGGTGGAGCAGAGGTCTTTGTACATTTATGATGCCACTTCCAATGTGCTGTAGCTCAGACCATTCATTCATTAATTGATTTTTTTTTTGATTGATTGATTGATTTTTATCATTTGCATATTCAGTCAAAAGGTATTTGAATATAACATTCCATTGCAATTGGATTACTTTTTGGGAGTGCATCAATTTTTTGTCAAAGAGTATATATTACATAGGGACATTGTCAGCAAACTAACAGGGTTTTACATTAGTAACGTGCAAACTCATTACTTCTGAGTAACAATTAGTAGTTTTCTAGTATAGTGGTACCTCATACTTTGAACGACTAACTTTGAATGCTTCAGAGTTTGAATGCAAAATTTACCTCGGAGTTTGAATAATGCTTCAAAGTTTGAACTGTGCACATGGTGAAAAAATGCACTCAAAGCATAAATATGTGTTCAAGTTGTCTCTTGTTCTTACATTATACTTATATGTTTTCAGTGCTTTTTTGTTTTATTTTTGGTGTTTGGTTATATATACTGTATTGTGTGTTATTCATCAATTTTTATCAATTTCTTCCAGCAATTTTTCTTTGTCAACAGTTTTTGGGTGCCCTGTATGTTTTGTATTCTTTAGCTCAAAAAATTTCCCAAACAAAACTTTTCAAACTACATTTGCCATGTTTGAAGTTTAGGAACATCTTTCCCATATACATTACAATTGTTTTTACTATTTTTACTATTTGTATGGTGTTATATCCTTTTCAAAAATCATAAAGCATAATGTGCCTGACATGCTTTTTATCCAAAGACATTACAACTTGATTTTATTGAATCAAAATGTGAAGTAAAGAGTTTAAAGTAAGATTCTAAAGAAAGGATATAATCTCACATTATCTATATGTTAAATTTAACAACTGTTATAATTAATCACACATCTATGTTAAGAAGTCAACTGTAAGCAACCCAATAAATGCAGTTTTCATTTTATTATACAGTATTTACTTATTTTATTTATGTTTTAATGTTCTAATTTATTATTAAGGCATTTAATTGTGTTATTTTTACCTTGAAATATGTGTATTTGCTGTTTTCAGTGTATTGAAATAGGTGTTGTTCAGGGTCTTGAAATGAATTAATTCACTTTCCATTATTTCTAATAGGAAAAATTTATTTGAACTTCAAACGAACTCTTAGAATAAACTGTACTAATCAATAGTTACTACTCATGCATTACTAATATATGTATGTACTTAGTGTAAGAGATCAAATATCATTCATCTAACAGACTAAACACATTTTTATATTAGTGTCTTATCAAACAGTACAGTGATACCCCGAACTTATGCGATAGGTGGGACCGAGCGATAACTGCGTAAGTCGGGGTATAATTTCTCAATTTGTGTAAAATCCAAATTCGGATGTATGTAAGCTAATAAATGTTCTCGTTAATCTTATCATGTCTTTTGATTCATTCACGGTTACAAGAAATCACCATATAGAGTCTCTCAAGTCTCCATAGATATAACAAACACAGAAATAAATAACACAAAATAAATTGTAACTATGCATTGATTCCGCACGACACATCCGAACATGTAAGCTGAACAATAGTGTGGGGGAGTGAGTAATCAAGAGCTGTGTGCCGCTGAAACAAAAGACGAATCCATGAGATTTGAAAATCGCGTAACTCCGGGTTCGCGTAAGTCGGGGTAGCGTAAATCGAGGTATTACTGTATAAAAAAACAAATTCAATAAATTTCAGAACATATTCTCATTAGAAAATCTATTTACTTTTTTATTACAGTTCTAATTAGATTTAATTCCTAATAAGTAACACAAATTCTGACAAAGAAATTAGTTTTTCAAATTTTAGAATTTTTTGAGAATTTGCAATTTTCAGATCATCTAGTGTAAATCAATAATAGTAACACATTAAAAATTTAACATTTATTTATAATGTTCTAATGTTAATGTTCTAATGTAAATTTAATAAATATTAACTTTTAACTTACATTATGTTGATGGCAAAAATTTATTCCTTGTAAAGTTTGCCAAATGATTTTCTTGGTAAGATAATCGGGTACACTAAATATCAAAATGTTATCTAAATTTTACTTATAAAATTACAAAAGTACTGTAATTTATTGGGATCAAAAATTTTCAAAATAATAATAAAAAAGTAACAATAATAATAAATATATTATTTAATCTATCTTCTAAAGATATGTCTATGGTATCAGTCAATACCTCAAGAAAAAAATAACTTAAATGCTTACTGTGGAAAACCACTCCATAAAAATTATCCTATTACTCTGACCAGATGATGGTGGTAAAAAAATCATCTGTTGCCTCATTAAAATTTGGAAATACATTTCTTGAAACAGAAGACTTCATGTTCAGTATTTAGGATAAGGTTATTAAAACAAGAAATTACAAACTTTATAATTAAAACTACTTATAATGGCCTTTGTAGATGCTCATCAACATGAATAACATCATCGTGTTGGTTGCCCAGCAATGTTTAAGTGAAGTGGAATATCTTGAAAGACTGTAGCTGAAATTTATTTGGATATTATTAAACAGTTAAATTTTTCATATCTCACTGACTCCCTATTATAAATTCCATCCTCTATCTGTGTTAGAAAATAATCAACATATAATTTATTATGTGATTAGAACTTCGGATGGATACCTCAAAACTATTTAATTTATGATAGTTTCAATGATAAAAGTCTACTGATGCAGGCAAGACTTAATATTAATAAGTTCCATATTTTAGTGAATGGCTATTATGTGAATATATCAAAAAATAGTGTGTAACCATATTGTAGAAGCAATACTCATTTGTTGCCTCTTGCTCAAAACTAACCCAATTAAAAAAATAACAATTTGTGTGTTAACTTTTCCAAAGAATGGCTAAAGTGTAATGATATGTCAAAAGTAATGTTATCTTGTTTACGCAGCTTTGATACATAATTACCATCTATATAGAACTTTTAAAGCAAAAGTACATGATTATTTTTATTCAAACTTCTCTCCTTTTAATATTGTAGTGTTTAACAAGAACTTATATTAAGCACCATAATTTTTTGAAGCATATATAATCTAAATATATAAAATTGCTTGTCCTGACTGACTCACTCATTCATTCACTGATTCATCATCGCCCAGAGCAAACCGCTTAACCTAAAGAGGTGAAATTTGGTACACAGTTAGGGTACGTCATGGAAACGCACACTAAGAAAGGATTTTTCGAAATTCCAACGCGGGGGGGTGAGGGGGAGCATTAAGTCTTAACCGGAAAAACGGCTTCTACTGCGCTATTTTAGATGCGATTTTTTGTTTTTATCTGCGTTTTAGTAGTGAATGCCATGGCAATGCACACTAAGAAGAGATTTTTAGAAAGTCCCCCGCGGGGGGTGAGGAAGAGCATTAAGTCTTAACCGGAAAAACGGCTTCCACTGTACTATTTTAGATGCGATTTTTTTGTTTTTATCTGTGTTGTAGTAGGGTATGCCATGAGAATGCATACTAAGAAGGGATTTTTTGAAATTTCCCCGCGGGGGGTGAGGGAGAGCATTAAGGCTTAACCGGAAGAACGGCTTCTACTGCGCTATTTTAGATGCGATTTTTTGTTTTTATCTGCGTTGTAGTAGGGTATGCCATGAGAATGTACACTAAGAAGGGATTTTTAGAAATTTCCCCGCGGGGGGTGAGGGAGAGAATATAGTTTTCATCGAGTACTTAGGTGTATTAAATTAATAACATTTCAGACATTGTTATAAATATTTTTATCCATTTCGATTTTAAAAATGTTCGAACCGTTTTAAATTCGAATTTGTTATTGCGTATTGGTTCGATTATAGAACGATTGTAAACGTTTCAGAAAATTGATCAAATTGAAAATAGTTCGTTTGATTTTCGGCAATTCTCTTCAGCGGTAGGTGTTATATAACAATTACTATGGTTATTGAAATATTGGATGTAAATGGGGTTTGCTTGCAAAACCTCCGCTGACGAAGTCGCGGGTAACAGCTAGTATACTATAAAACTAAATCAATATAGTTTTTGCTATTGATTTAAAAATAATTAATAATGACCTACTTATTTTGCAATCTGCTTTAAATGACATATCACAAACTTTTAAATATTTTAATCTAATTATTAATATAAAGAAAACTGTTGCAATGTGTTCTTTCTCTTATGTAATCAATTTATCTGCATTTGCTATATTGAAGATAAAAATACATCATATTTCTAGACTTATCACACTGTCATCAGACACAAGACTGGCTTCAATACATCAATTTATTTTTAATAGTATGCATTTCAGATTTACAGTCCCTCCTCAGCTTTTTTACAAACTTTCTGCAAAATTGACATATTTATGACTCCAAATCATACAAAGAAATTTTGACATTTGGCAATAATTGTTTACAAATTTATCCATAAGTATTCAATTGAACAATGCGAGACACAATTAAAATAATTAAGTAATAGAAAAGCTGGCCAACTACAACATATTAAAGACACTTAAAATAAAATAATACACAACACTTTCAAATTCAAGAAGCCATTATAGCACTCACCAATACATTTTAAACTAGACAAGAAGCATATTATAGTATGTCATATGTTCATTCTATTAATAATCTTGGAGTAATTTTTGATAACAAGTTGACATTCAGAGACCATATTAATAGAATAATAGAAAGATATCTTTCAATATAGCTTAAGATTATATGAAGATTTTATAGCTCTATATCTTATAAACCTACTCTTTATTCTCTTTACTCTTCTTTTTGCAAATTTTTCAGTCCCTGATTGATTACAATCTTCTAATAAGATCAGTTGCTAATTCTAATTCATTCAATAAAATAAATGTTGAATTAAAAAAAAGCTTATTTAATAAATAATTTTCCAATCTTTATTCTGTTTAGTAATCTGTGAAGATTTGGTTTTTCAAATTTTATTATTTAATATAATTCAATAAAAAATTTATGAAATAAAATTCTAAAGATATTTTTATCGCACATTTATTTATTTACATCATTGGCAACATCGTTACGATGGTCAGGACGAAACACGGCCAGTCACCACCTGAAGCATACCTCGGTGGAGGTCGAAAGTACTTGTGGAATTTACTACGGACATAACACTCATAAAAAAAGGTTTTTCATGGATTGTTATAAAGATATTTTATGAACTTGTGGAGTTGACCTTTATGTCCCAAACAGATTAACTCAAAATACCTCCTCTGCTCCATATTAAGTAAATATACATTATTTAGATATTCAATAATAATCATTTTTTATTTGGGTACTTCCATCTATGTGGGAACTTAAAAATTCTTTACATGAAAGTTGTTTTATTTTTTATAGTAGGAGTTCTTTGTTTGAAAGAGGTTCTTTCTTGCCTGAATGAAAATTATCATTAATTTTAGAGTAAATAGAAAATATAAACTTATGTTTTAGGACATGCTAATTCTGATAACAGTATTTGCAATTACAATAAGCAGAATCATCTATTGTAAATGTATGAAAGAGTCAAAAATAAACCAAATTTTTAATGTAGCTTTTATTACATTAATAGTACAAATATTTATAGAAAACAATTTTTAAAGTAACTTCTTTTGGAGTTATACCTTCTGCTAACATCCATACTTGTCAAAGTAGTCTGAGAAGTCATTTTTTATGAGATCTTTAAGTAGTGCAGCTTTCACATTCAGCTTCCTTCGGTCATTCCCAGTTAATGAATATCTGGTCAAAAATGGCATAACAATGCTTCTGCAGCTTATATCCTCTGATATAATCCCTAAGGATTTTTATCTGTTCTCTAAAATGAAACAGAAGTTGAAGATAGTGGGTTTCACTCAGTGGCATAGATGGAAACTTCAGCTTTGCATAAAGAATTTAAAAAATAGCTTCCAGGACTGCTTTGACAAATGGTATGGTTGCAGGGAGAAGTGTATAGCTACAGTTGGAGCTTATTTTGAAAGTGATGTAATGTAAGAGTTTCTATGTGTTGAGTAATAAAACTAGTGCCAAAAGTTCAGTTTATTTTTGACGCTATGTATTTAGACTTTAAAGTTATATTATATATAAACAGGCTTAGACAATCTACAATGAAAAATAAAAAACATTTAAGAAACATGGACATCGTAATCCTAAACTCAATATTGAATTGTTAATTCTGTCAGGAAAAGAAAGAGGATTTCTAAATATGCATACCAAGAAATATTTCTTTAATGAACAGAATTATTCATAAATACACAATTATTATTCTCATAGATTGAAATATTTTCTTTTCAATTTTTAATATAGAGATATTACTAAACTTTTTATAATTCTACACAATAAATATACTGTGAAGCATTAATAATCTGAATGTCAAAAATCCAGATTTGGCCATTGAAAATGGATATTAATCCTTTTAATGATAATTTTGTGTTGATATTCTTTTTGTCTGTGTTTTGGTCTTGCATTGTTAATGTTCTAACATTCATTCAGAATTTGTAATTTTTTAATTACAAAATTATGATTAGTGTATTTTTTGTTTAAATATAGTGATTCTGTAAATTATATTTTGAATCTTTGTAGATATCTATATATTCCTTGTGAAATATTGGTCTGAACTAAGAAATCCTAAACTTGATTACAGCATATTTGAAGTTTACAGTAATTAAAATGATAATTTACATATATATTTGAAAATCTGGATGGGGTCTGGTTCCAATTAACCTGGATTTTTGATGCTTCACTGTATATATATGAAGCATATAAACATGAATGAAATTATTCACTTTTTCAAGTAAACTCAAATTATATTTAAATGAAAAAGCAATACTATAAAAAATTAAATTTAAAAAATCTAAATTAAACATTATGTCATTTAAATAATTTATTTGTAAAAAATAAAGTAAAATAACATCTTACCCATTTGGATGTTTATTTAAAATATCTAACACAGTATGTTCACAATATTCAAACACGAGATGAAGTTTTCTTTTTCGACGGAAGACTTCAATTAAATTAATTAAGTTTGGATGTTTCAATTGCTAGAATAATAAATGAAGGTTTCGAATTTATAATATAATTTAAAAATAAGAATTAATATGTGCAGTATATTTCATTTACATAATTTTACAATAGCATTTAATTTCAAAAAATGCAAAATTAAATTTACAAATTTATTAAATAGATTACACACTTGATTAATAGCATATTGATTGCAACTTAATAATTTGATAAAGTTTTTGTGTTTTTAATTAAAGATATTCTGAATTAAAGATATATATATATATATATATATATATGCATGTGTGTCTGAAAACTGGACTGAATCAGAATATCAGAATATCTTTATTATAAATTAATTAATGAGCCAAACTCTGCATAAGTCAGAAAGTGTTTTGTCTGTTATCAAAGTTTAAACCAACCATTGAACATAATTTTTTGCAAAGCCAAAATTTTGAAATTCAATCTGTGGGCTGAGATCTTTGTGATCAAAGTTTGCCATTTAAAGTCTATGGGCCAGTTGTCGATTGTAAGCTAGTTGCAAGCTACATGTCAATCAAGTTTCCAATTGATGTCTATTTACATTGATCTCTAAAACAATTTTTAATTTTAGATTTAGATCAGTTTTAAACTGTTTTTTTCTGCTTAGTTTTGGTTTTCTATGCCACAAAGCTCAGTTTTATTTTCCTAGTGAATATTTTATTAAAATATAATAAAGTTTTATTAACAAATTTACACAATTTTTGTATATATTGCATATAAATTAAACATGAAAAATTATACAGGCTAGATAACTATATTTCAATTTTTAGAAATTTATTTAGCAATGTACAGTACAAGTAGTTTTTATTCCCAAAAAGGAATGGATTCTAAATAAAAGACAGAAGAGTTATCTAAGGGCTGTAGAAATAAATGGTCTTTGATGGAATCTATAGAGATCTCATCTTCAAAACTTCAGAATAGGATTATTACAGAGAAATGTCATTTATAGAATTTATAGGAGATGAATTTAAATTGAAAGGCTTTCTTGTGATGTGGACATATCTATTGGATGATTGAAGAGAAATGGCTGAAGACCATAGTGCCACCAGCAAAAAATTACAGTTGGACCTCCTCAATTTAGCATCAGAGGAAGGTTGACAGCAGCAAACAGAGTTGGAGAATTAGAAAGGAATGACAACAGAACAGGAGATTATGAGACACCTATTAATGGAAATGCCTTTAAAACAAATCTATTCATTTAAATAAACATTTACTACTAATGTATATAATTATCACATTTTAATATAATCGAATTAATTATTCAAATTCAATCTAATTAAAAATCAGATAAACAATTTACAGCTCAAATGTTTTTACTCAGTATTTTATCCTCCACGTAATATATCCAATCAAAATGCAAAATACCTTTAACATCCTTATTTCCCTGAGAGCTATTTTCTTGATTAAAGGCTCGTCTTCAGTCTCTACAAATTTCTTAATAGCAACTAATTGGCCATTTTCTCGATTACGGCATTTAAACACAATCCCGTAGGAACCTTCTCCAATTTTTGCAATCTTTTCATATTTCTCCATAATCGTGGAATAATAATGTTTATACCTCCTAAAATAGTCATTTAAAAACATAAAAATTCCATATTTTAAAATCATTATCCAATATTTAAATTAATAAATTTTAAGCTTACTTATCAATTATTTTAATATATAAGTTATAACACGTTTAATTTATTATTTCAACAAAATTAAGGTAATTGTATATTATTCCCGCATTACGCGTTTCTTCTTTAAAAAGCATGACAAGAACGTGAGACACGATCAATTACTACCGCAGCCTACGTTATACTGGAGGACAAGAGTTTAACTTACCGGTAAGCATTAGTTCTATATTATACCGCTAGGGCGAACAGTGGCAATGGCGGGAACTGAATTTGTATCAAATATTTTGCTAATATACAGTGGATTGTCCATCGTATAAAATGGAATGCGGCGAGTGTAATTTGAAAAGACAGATTAAAGCGAAGCATATAAAGGAGTATAACAGGAATGATAAAGATATTAAATTATTTAAATGTAGTTTGTGTTTGGGTAAATATTATAAAAACGAAGAAATATTGTCACACTTCCCCTGTGACAATAAAAAAACTTTCCCCTGAGAAGCTAATGAATAATAATAAATGTACAGTATATTTGAATTGTTAACTTGCGTAATTTATGTACTTGAAATTTCATGATATTAAAATTTAATTATTTGTACTGTACTTATTATTCGATTTGGGTATTTTCTTATATATTTACAAATTATTACAAAGAATCTATTTTTGTAGTAATTTGTTTTCTGCTATCATTTTATCTTCTATCTAAAATATTTCTTAAATGGAAATTAATGCAAATTAAATCATGAATATAGACGCTGAATGACACGAACCTCTATAACATTGTAGTATAGTATTGATATTGTACTAGTTTTTCAACATTGATGTTCCTAATATTAGTATACTGTGAGGGACAGATCTAGATAGGAATAATAGTGACGATGTTCATACCATTTGACATTTTATTTATTATAAAAATTACATTTTGAGATTCGGTCCTATCTACCCTTATGTTATAATGAGATGGAAGAGTGTTAAAAGAATTTTGAATGTTTACAGCTGATTCTCCCTATGTTCAAGCCAAATTTACGCTGCGAAGCGATTGCAGCGCTCCAAGTGGCAAAAATATTTATTACCCCGGTATCGTAGCATTGAGCTTGAGCTGCCAATAGCCCAAGCTATTGGCAGCTCAAGGACTAATAAATCTATAGACTCTGGTAGAACGTAGGCCCCGTTAGTACTTTTCAACGTTTTCTAATTTTCCACCAGAACGCCATTCAAATTCATTTTTCAAATAAAATTAACGAAAACTATAAAAATATCATTATTATTCCGATATATATATATATATAACGCGGTATTAATTTTAAAATTTCAAATAGATTGAAACGTTTTCTCGTTTGTTATGATCGATGTGCGCAAGCGACAAAATTAAGACGACGATGTCGACTTCATCTTAAATTTGCTGCTTGTGTGAATCGATCCTGGAACGTGCAATTCTATATTTATTATCGTTAAAGCTTAAGGTTATTTTTGTGTCACGATAGTTTTCGTTTAATCGAGACAATTTCTTTTTTGCGTTTTCACCTCTCATTTTATTATGCTTTTTCGTTTTTTACTTCAATTTGACATTATATTTCAATGACGTTTAACTTGTTCATTGTAAAAGTTTTTTGTTTTTACTCTTTCCGCCCTGTGTGCCACTTTTAGCAAGCCCATTATGGGTTCGGCTAGACCCACAATATGGCAACCGGGTTGTGAGTGATGGGGCCTGACATATCTAGACGGACCACCATTAGGACGGACTAGCATTAGTAAATCAACTTCTACAATCCAGTCTGAATTCGATCCCGGGTCACCCAGAGCGGTAGGCTGTCACTTTGACTGCTAGGCCATCCGGAATCATTGTAAAACTGAAGAGATAATGTCAAATTGATGTTAAGCGTGAGCGAAACGAGCAAACTTGTTTGACGGCCGGATGGCCGAGCGATTAAGGTGTCAACATACTGCTCTGGGTACCGCTCTCAAATCCGGACGAGGAAATTTTCGGGTGTGGTCCGACCGGATATGTCGGCCCCGTCCTTCACCTCCTGGCCGCCCCATTGTGGGCCTAGCCGAACCCATAGTGGGCTTTCTAAAAGAGGCTCACAGTGCGGAAAGAGTAAAAACAGTAAAAAAAAAAAAAAAGAAAAGAAAAAGCAAACTCGTCTAGTTGTTTAGCATCTATAGGAATTCACGGATCGTTTGCTAACAAATAAACAAAGCGTCCCTCGCAAAACACCATGATCAGGAAGAAATGACATAAAATTTAACTAAATTATCAGTACTAAATTAATTGGCTGTACGAAATACAATATGTCTACAAATTTGTTTAGCATATAGTATATCTACGGTTCTCACAAGTCTCTATATTTTAGCTTCAGATTCTGTATTAAATTTTCTGAATTAATAAATCAACTTCTACAATCAATCTCTCTTCTACTTTACTATTTCATCATTAAAACGAAATGTCTGTAATATTAATTAATAAGGCATCATTCTACAGCACTGGGAAACCCGGAATTGAATCCAGGTAAACATCCCCAAGAATTTTTCATGGGTGACCTGCCCCAGGAATGTCGGGCCCGTCCCTAGTTTTGGTCTTTAATCAAGACCAAAACCATTTTTGGTCTTGATTAAACATGCTATGGATATAGATAAAGGATCTCTAAGCACCTACAAGACGAAAAGAGCCAAAAATGAAAACAAAAAAGGTGTTAAAATTAAAATAGATAATTACTTTAATTTTTGGAATTACATACCATTTTATATAATAACTTACCTTAAAGGAGAGAAAATCGGAGAGTAAATGACACCTGATTTCTGTCCTAATGCGGACAAATCAGATAGATTTTCTTCAGGTGAATGACGATTTTCCATCTGTAAATCCGAAATTACAATTTGTAATAAAATTATACATTCATGAAACATAATTGTAAAATCTTTACATCCATTATAATTCTTTTGAAACATTTACATCTATAGTATAATACAATGGCATCCGGATGGCCCAGACAGATAAGGCGTCAACCATCGCTATGGATGACCTGAGATCGAACCTGAGTGGTCGAAAAACCTCAGGAATTTTTTGGGAGTTGTCTTGTGCCCCCAAAAAGTTCCTGGTAGCATCCTTACATCCGGCCGACCTCTTTGTGAACCTTTGGAACCCATGATGGGTATAGGAAAAAAGCTCCGTTGGTGCCTGCAGGGATGAAAAAATCAAAAATAATAAAACACCTAATGTTCTGTTTGCAGGGAAATTACTTCAGAACTGTGGAATTTAACTTCGTCCATTATTAACCAAAACTTTGGAAATTTGTTCTTATAACGAGCAATTATTTATTGTGACATCGACACAATGCCGGGCTGCAAGTTTTAATTTATTTCATTTGTAAATAACGTAATTTCCAATATGCATCGGAATTTCATGTATAGTTAATGGAGGCCTCCTGTCCCTGAGGTTTTCATATCTGATCTCGGAGTTCATCTATCTAATTCCATTATGGAGATTAAGCAAAGACAGTCGGACGACAGTGGGAATTTGTAGGTCTACAATTTTTTCAAATTGTAGACCTATAAATTGTAGACCTGTATTAGTATACTAGCTATTATGGTAATTGGGCTACAATTTTTTCAAATTGTAGCCCAATTACCATAATAGCTAGTATACTAATGTGAGAGATCGGACTTGGAAAGGAAAAAACCCCACAATTTTATTCGGGAATTTTTCGAAAGAAAATTCATTTTTCGTTTTGAAAAGGAAATTTATTTAAATCTCAAAGAAAAAAAAAACCTTTTCCATTTTATTACTGGAGGATGAGTACAATTCTCTTCCCGGAGTCGTTTCCTTTCCCAGGGAACTCAGAATGTGTCACTAGGAACAACAACAAAAAATTCACTATTGGTGAAAAATGACAACGTAACTTGGAAATAAAGAGGAGACCTGAAGGAACAGTGAGAGAGATCGAGAGTCCGCGAGAATATTCCTTGTGTGCCAGCCGAAAGGATTTATCATCATCGCTCGTCGCCGCTCGCTCCTCCCGAATATCCAGTGTTTCTCCGGGAACGCCTACGAATAACTAACGAATCTCAACTTTCGATAGGCTTTAACCGCCATCCAAGGCAACAGAGACATTCCCAAGGCTCCTCAACGACTCCACAGACATCTGGAAATCCGTACATATTGCTTCAGGTATTTATAACGACCCGCGATGATATGTAAGCTCTCTCCAACTCGGTTCTCGCGAAGAAGCTTTAGAGGAAATACCCTTTTGTAGAACTAGTTTAATAAACGAATGTTGTTATTGTTAGAATTGTGTTGTGTGCACTTCCTCAAGCGGTCTCCATCCCGAGTCCAACCGCCCACAGACGCGACTGCTTGCGCGTAAAGACGAACGTAACGATCTCTGTGTCTACCCAGAAGACACAGTGATGTCAGTCCTGATAAATTAAGCATTGTAGTCTTCGCCGACGCAATGTCGACCCTACGGTCCTGTGGTGCCGAAGCATAGAGGGGCCCTTCGGCATTGTCACACTGGTGTCAGAAGTGGAATCTTTAAGGCCCCAGGCCCGCGGAAACACTAGGCTGACGCAAAAACAACACCTTGAAAAAAATTAGACTCCGAGAAAAAAGCGAACTCTGTTCAAAAGTAACACCGGTGGCAGAGCGATAGTAAAGGCAAGTCAGAGAGCAAATTAGAGAAAAACAAAGGGAGCAAGGATGGAGACAATAGGAGAACCATATCCACCAGGGCGCTTGCGCGGAGAGACAGCGGGAAGTGCACTCGCGGCAAGAGATTTAGGCGGATTGATCCATTTAATAGCAATGAATAATCCCGAAGAGAAACGAGCGGACCATACTAATAGAAAAATAGATCAGATGATCAGGCAGATACAGGATCAATTAGACGAATTAAGGCGACACTGAAGTCAAAGAAACGAACATAGAAATAGAAATCTTTCATTTGCGGGGCAAAATAGCTACCAAAATGATAGAAACAGATTTGGTGAACAAGAAAATGACTCAAGAAACATAGTAGGCGGCGTGCGAACTCAAGCACTAAGTTTCAAAAACAACAAGAAACAGAGTGGACGGTTCAAGGGCAGATTGGCGACCTCGAACAAATCAACCTCAACATCAGATACAGAGGTTTGAGAGAAGGAACAACAGGAACTGGCGAGAAAATAAAGGAAATTATAGATGGG